CGGGGATACTCCAGACCTCTCAACTCTCACGCATTCGGCGTGAGTCTCACGCAATTCGCTTCAGTCTCACGCTCTCACGCCAGACCTCTCAATTCTCACGCATTCGGCGTGAGTGTCACGCAATTCGCTTCAGTCTCACGCTCTCTCTCACGCCACGTTTAGTAAATCTAACGCATAAAAATTTTGGTATATCCGCATAGGCGTACCGGGCGAGTTTTTTGGGCAGTCGGGCAATATTCGATCAACAGTCGGGCAATTTTGGGTTGCAATAAAAGAAATGTGACAAATTCTGTAAATTTTGTCTAAAATTTAGTCAATTTTTTGGCAAATTTTGTGATTTTTCGAAAATTTTGTGTATGTTCGGAAAAATATTGGTTGTCCGGAAAATTTTTTTGACCCCTAAAATGGTACACTGACCGAAACTTTTTTGGCGACGGGGGGGGGTCGCCGAAATAATTTTTCCGGAAAAATTTTTTTCAATCTCACTCTTAACTTCTCTGCAAAGTTGAGAGGTCTGATACTCATATCACTGTGACACCGGGATGTAGTTACCCTGGATTCCAGAGCCTTCGACAGTAAATAATAAATTGAAGTGTCGCGAAGGCTCTGGTTCAACGGGGCGATTCTTTGATTAAGCCGCGCCAATCACAAAACAGAATAAGTGGTTTTAGTACAGATTCTGTACTAAAACCACTAATTCTGTTTTGTGATTGGCGCGGCTTAATCAAAGAATCGCCCCGTTGAACCAGAGCCTTCGCGACACTTCAATTTATTATTTACTGTCGAAGGCTCTGGAATCCAGGGTAGGATGTAGTAAAATCCAGAGAAATTAGTGAATTTTGAAATCAGAAATCACTAAAACTTCGATATTATTGAGCCCACAGTCTTATATGACAGCGGTAACTCACGGAAATGAGGAAATCGGGTTAGAAATCAGGAAATCGCATTATAAATCAACAGAAATCCGTTTAGAAATCAACAGAAATCAGATTAGAAATCAAGAAATCAGTTTCGAAATCGCGTGATTTCGAAATCTCGTACGCTTCATGTGGCCGTGTCGGACCCCTCGGGCTAATTCAATTGCTGCGAATACTGTAAATTGAATAATGAATGTAGCACAATATTAAATAGTTGCATGATGACGTCAAAGAAACTAATCAGACTACATTTTCAAGTTTTGCAACTCTCATCGCTTAAATTCCCCATACCTGAATACAAAATAAACAGTAAACAGTAAACAATGATTACCTTTTACATACCATATATAAAACGGAGTTTTCATTCTTTCTAGAAACTCACTTCCTGAACTTTTGAGCGCAAATGTAATGTATTAAAAATGTATATCATATTCACAGCGGTTAATACCATTAATATATCGCGGGCGCAATACAAAACAAAACAAAACACAAGAATTTTAAAATGTTTTGATTTGCAAATAAATAAATAATATTTGATGTCATAAAAATTTTTAAATTTAACTCAACATAAACTGGTAAGTTCATGACATGTATAATTTACTTATATGTTGATATATTGCAATTCTGTACCCTACTCCTTTGAAAATTGTTTGCAGTTGCATATGATGTGAACATGTGGTCATGTATTATAGTTGTGTCATGAATTTAATAATACCCCAATGGCTTCGAAGTAGACAATGGATGAAAAAAGTAATGAATATTGAGCTTATTTACCCTTTAAACACTTGATCGTCATGCGCATACAGTGTATTGTTTGTTTCCAGAACCCCCTCTAGCAGACTTCAACTTTTTTTGTTAAATTGTATATTTTGCTTCATACACTGCATGTGTGTGTGTGTTTGTGGGAACACTCATGTTTGGATGCTTGGCATAGGTTAATGGTAATTTCATTGGAGTCATCAAATTACCTCTAAACACCTAAAACAGCATTCCCTAAAATTTTAATTGTTTTCTTACATTGCCCTATATCGCTCAAACTCACATTGCTTAAATTGCAGATTTTGCTTAATTTTAAATCACCTAAAATTGCTTAAACTCGCATTATCTTGTTATCACCCCAGAGTAGGGCCTACTGTTGCCATTGCTTTTTAGTCCCCAATACTTCAGTGTTTCATGCTTTGGAAATGACAATAATTTTTTATTACCCAACCCTTGAGTTGTTTTGTTTTTCATTTACCCAACCTTTTACTTACTCAAAATTTAGTTTACCCAACCCTTTTCTCTTCGGTGCCACCCCCCACCATAAATAATGACCGGTCCCTAATCAGTATCATATGTGAAGCTTTCATCTTGCTAAAAGTCATTTCATTACATTTTGCTGCCTTTCAATGACAATGTAGCACATAAACGGAATTTTGACAGACAGTCACAGATAAAATATTGTCTATTCTCATGACAAAGTTCAACGTTTTTACCGAGAAACTTCAATGACAAAGTTTGTGATATTAATTAGTTTTGATGGTTTCAATGCCGGATGATTCCAGCTATAGACTAATTTTGATCTAGGCAAGACATGAGGACAAAATCCATCACCACAGCTAGAAAGAGCATCTAAAATTAGTAAAATTGCAAAGTTTGCCCGCGAAAAATGTTGTAAAATGCGGAAAATATCACCTTCGGAATTTGCAAATTTTGTTTTAATTTCTATCACGCGCGGGAAAATGCACCACTTTCGGCCCAAATATGGATTTTGTTCTTCTTGCCTAGATCAAAATTAGTCTATAGCTGGAATCATCCGGCATTGAAACCATCAAATGATTAATATCACAAACATTGAAGTTTCTCGGTAAAAACGTTGAATAGACAATGTCATGAGAATAGACAATGTTTTATCTGCGATTGTCTGTCAAAATTCTGTTTATGTGCTACATTGTCATTGAAAGGCAGCAAAATTTAATGAAATGACTTTTAGCAAGATGAAAGCTTCACATATGATACTGATTAGTTTCGTATCATGCAGTTTTTTTGTTCCTGTTTTTATATTATTGACTGTTATTGTAGCAATATTTATATGCGAAAGTTTGTAGTTCAGCCGTTGTTACAGAACGTACGGCTATATATTGTGTTAAAAATATTTTGACTTTGTTGTTTCTGATGACATTTTTGTTGACTCTCGACTTTTTGCTGTCGACTCTCGACTTTTTACTCTCGACTCTCGACTTTTACTCTCGACTCTCGACATTTACTCTCGACTCTCGACTTTTACTCTCGACTCTCGACCTTTACTCTCGACTCTCGACCCTCGACTTTTAGATACACTCACTGAGATACACTCAGGAGAAGGAGACCAAATTCACCTAACCTGAAGTTCAGGCCCTAATTTGAAATAGGGCCTGACACAAAACCTGTCTAGACCGTGGGACGCCCACATGTTATTTTTAGACACAACATGCAATATGATTGACAAGTGTTATAGATTTCGTTACACAAAAAATTTATATTCTCATGAACATGTCCGCAGAGTGTGCATTTTGCTTGATAATTAAACTTAAAAATTCAAGGTACTTTTATATAAATAAGATTCAGACAAAGATTTAATTAGTCAGTTCTGTGCACGGCTAGACTGCCAAGCTTTCTCAAGGTCTCAACTTGCTGGACGCGGATATTAGGGATATACTTTATTAAAACGGGCTAACAACAGCAACAATGAAATTCTCAATCGTACCACGAAGAAGGCGATGTAGCTCAGAAAACAACGCCGGTAGGACCTGATATTAAAAATAAGACTTTTGCCGGCGAAGCCAGTTGGCAAAACATCTTGGCTGTCAACAACAAGCTTTCGAATACATGACTAGTTTGGCTGTTCTTTCGGCGTCGTGTGTCCAAAATTCGTCCAAGATTTTGATAAAGCCCTTTCAAAATACTGTTTGTTTGATTTATTTTCTGCCATAAAGCATAAAAGAAAAAGAAATTCGAAGAAATCGATAATGGAATTTGTACGTGCGTTTGACCTTTATATTAATTGTCGCCTTGACCAAGCTATTTTTAAAACTGTTGTTTATGTAAACTTGCAACCAATCAAAATCCTTCATGATGCTGATCAACCAATGAGATTTCCCGTCCACCAGGTGGACGGGAATCTCACACTTTAGATAGGTTTTGTGTCAGGCCCTATTCTGTGATTAGGGCCTGAACTTCAGGTTAAAATTCACCCGAAACCTATAGTTGCTGGCACAGGTGCCCCAGCAACTAATTAAGCGAAATTTGGGTGATATTTATATCTGTGGTCCCCATTTGCCCCATTTGTTATGAGCATAACTGATATGATATGTGTAACTGTACATATAGTTAATGTGAATCCATAATAATCACATTCTAGAGCCATGGTTGGAGGAAACTTGGGGCCCGCAACAGCCGTAGATGCCAGTCCTGTGGTGGAGGAACTGATTGTCCTCCTTGAAAGGCATTACGTGTTCTCAAAGAAACAGGATGGGAGGACGATCACAAGATGGTGACTGGCTATGGGATACATAGCTGGCTATATAGCTCAGTGGCTATGGGATAATACCGGTCAGCAATGGATGAATATCAGGAAGTACTTCATCTAAGATCATTTTAGGTGCTCGTTTGCGCGGGGAACGCGGCGCGAAGATTGCGGCTCTATGCCCCCCAAAAATCCCACGCAATCTTCCCGCCGGCGTTCCCCCGCGAATTACCACAAGTAATTTGCCTAACATGAAGTACTTAATTAAATAAAGTTGTCGCTGACATGAAAACCGCTTTAGCGATGTAATCATGAAATACAAAATGGCGCGTGTTTGGGGCCATTCACAAAGGATGTCCGGCCAAATGATGGATTTTCAGACCCCCCCCCTCCCCCCCTTGTCCGGCATTGTCCGAATTAGTGACCCCC